CATGTCGGGGATGCTAAAAATACCCAACCAGGCAACCAGGTTCTTCCGATATTTCCCCTGTCGTGGATAATTGCCGGCTCATTATATGAAACGCCACCCCGTATTTTCCGATAGGCGTAATGAAAATATATCGCGTTCCCTTTAATCTCCTCCCCCTCCCCCCGGCCTCCCTCTTCTCGGTTTATCATCGTGTCTGAGCTCCAGGAGTCCGACGAGACGACGACGGGGACGAGGGGGACGCGTTTTATTTAAAGATTTTATTAATCGATAGCCCCGCGCTGAGAAAAATCGTTTGATTGTACCAACAAGACGTATATGATTGAAGGCATTTTGGTTAAATCAAACAAGAATTTCTAGTTATCATGATAAGACTCGATTTTTTATAACTAGAACGTTTAATATAGATTTTACTATAAGGATTTGGTTAGTATTTTCTGGTTGGATCTATCAAATTTCTTGTTACATTAATTTCTTTGCTTGCCGCTAGCCACTCTTAATTTAACTCGTATTCAATATTTACCATAAAATGTATATAAAGAACTAGTATTAACATTAAATCCAAAGTATATTTTTCTTCTCTTACGAGCAGTAGTGCCAGAAAGAGGACGCTAGCTCTCTGATTGTGTGTGTTTGAGCTGCATCCTCTTCTTGCATCACTGTTTATCAGTTTAATTTCTAACAAAATGAATTTAAAATAATTTATTCAATAATCTGGATTGAATTTATCCAATAATCTTGTTGAAATTCAAAATATTAAACAGACTTTTGAGATTAGATGGAAAAAATTTTAGACGACTTGGTGGTGGCGAGTTTAGTATTATTAACCAGAAAATTTGGTAAATTTAACAGGAAGAAATTAATCAGATTCATCTGGTAATTCCTACAAGAATTTTGGTTCGTCCATTTTCCAACAGACATACTGGTTGAATCTATCAGAGTTCTAATTAATGCAACCAGATTTTTTTCTCAGTGCGAGTGCCTTTAAAACGCCGAAATTAACTCTTCCCCGGCGACTCGAGGATTTCGAGTTACTCGCGAAAACAGGAGTGTTATCCCGAAAGGCTAATGTTATTTTTCAATAACTCAGGTTCGAATAAAACCACCCTTAAGAGTCTCACGGATATTAAATATTCTATCATTTAATTAAGATACATTTTAATTCGACTTTGACGGATCGCGCGTGCCACTTGTCATTTTTCTCGAATTGTTGAAACTATTTATTTCCGACGTTTTTCGTTATAATTGGGAGAATCGCGCCATGAACTTTGAGCATTTCTCGCGCCGGTGTTTAGTTAAAACCCGTAAATGAATTTACATCGGACGCGAGCGCTATATGAGATTTTTCACATGTGACCTTTTTCGCGTTGCAGAATATTTCGCAGACTTAAAATCGCGTTTGCGAAACGCGAGCTTGAAAAATATAATTTTATTAAACATCCCGTTCTCTGCCTTTCGCGTTAAAACAGTCCCTCTCGTTGAACGTGATTAAAACATTCGCGATATTATTCTGCACGTCGAGAGATTTTAATATCGATAGAGTCAAACAAAAGGGCGAGCGTGCGAGCGACTGGAAATAAAGTTGTCAACTTAATCATCAAACCGCGCGCTTTCATGAAAGTCGCGTCGCACAAATTTATGCCCTCGAATATCCCCGCGAAAATTCAGATGGTCGTTTTAGTAATGGAGTTACAAATAAGTGCGGGAGCACATTTCCCTCCGTCGCACTTTCATTTCGTATTCCGCGCAAGGGGCGATAATGGTGGATCAACGTGAATCTTCCTGGACGTATTCTAATAAAGGGTACGATCGAAACTGGGAGACCGACCTTGGATGAATGTTATATTCAATATCGCCCAATGAAAAGAGGAAAAGAGAAATTCTCTTTATCCGAATCGATATTTCACGTTGGCCATTTTTCTCGCGCCTTTATCCTCGTTTCACTTTCCTTCTCACTCGATGGCCGATTTTGGAGATATCAAGACTCTGATGTATTATCTTGTCTCGAAATTCAAGATGAGATTTTTAATTAATTGTCAAGACTAAGATTGTCGAGATTATTGCTCTTGTCAAGATTGCTGATTTTTAAAAAGAATTAAAATATGCAGATTAACAAGTTAGTTGAGAAAAAAATCACACTTTATTATATTCAAACTAAAAAGAAATTTGTTTAATAAATAAAAACATTTATGTTAAGAATTTTTAAAAATAATTAATACAATAAAGAAAAATAAAATAAATAGTAATAAAAAAATGGTAATTATTTTAAATTATATTATAAGGATTATATTAAATATATATTATTTTTATTATTAATTTTCATTTAATATTATTTTTATAATATTATATTATTTTATATTTGTTTTAATTTTACTTAATTTTAATTATTATGTTTAATTATATTAAATATATATTTTCTTTTAAACATAATCGTTTAGTATTAGATATAAATTGTTAAAATCGAGACAAAACTTTTGCTATAAAGTTCAAGACAAGATTTATATATAGTTTTCGAAGATTTTCAATACAATATTTGTACAAATATTGTCTTTCCTCGAGTCTTGTTCAACCCTAATCGGTTTTACACGATATCGAACGAGGTGTTTGTAAACTGGAGTTAAACATCATCACGCCACCCTTATTAATGACAAAAGTTGGAGCAAGATTTACGCCCCTTTTCTAATCGTGAGGCCTTTGCGTAAATCTCGATAAAGATGCCACGTGCGATTTTGCCTGCCCGTGTATCTCGCACTTTATCTACTGAAACTTTCACAAGTATAAAGGGGACTCTCTTCCGGACAAACGGCGCGAACTTTCATCCTTGTCCCGGCGTTAAACCGATAGAAAGAAAAAAAAATGATAGCTCTCTCTTCGCACAAGGACCGTTCTCGTTATATTGCTCGGGAGTAGGGGAAATATTCTCCCTCTGTTTTCTCCCGGTTCTCTGCTCGTTCCTTCTCTCACCCGACGCTTCTTCCGGTAATTTCGCATAGCAAGCTAGCGAGATACGAGCCGTAATTCGATGCCGCTGTTTCATAAAACATGCGGCCTTTTCGTAGCGTCGGGCGCGAGAATTTTATTTTTTTCCCCTCTCCCTCCCCAGGACGCGTTTTTCAAGAGCGGTCCTCCCTCGCGAATGCACTTTGTTACGCCAGCAAAATGCCGGGCAGCGCGTCAGTGCACCCGGCCGACAATTCAACGTGTTTGAAACAAGAGAGGACGAGTTATTCTAGCTTGGCGCCAGAATAAACGGGCTGCGATTAACAAATATCTCCTGCGGGTGTCGCTGTGTGCGTCCATGCACGAGAGATTCCTTTGAATTTGCGCTTGGCGCAATTCTGCTGCAATTTGCGAAGAAATTGAATTACGTTATATCAAAGTCGAAGGCGGGAGCCGAGGGAAGAAAACGAAACGGAGTTAAAGCGGAAGTAATTGCGAGAATTTTCTCTGCGAATTAGTAATCTGCGCATTTAAATAATGGAAATTGAATTGTGAATTTTGTTCTTTTGAGATGGCGAATTAAAAGACAGATTAAAGACTTCATTTCCTTAAGAGGAGGCGAGCGAAAAATATCTCAGAGATCCCCCTGTGCAGATCCCTGGTCCGGGAATCAAGTCGCGCCATGTCGCTATGCTTTTGTACATTTTTGTCATTGATTAATAACATGTTTCTTATGATAAATAAAATTAATAAAATTAAATTAATTATATATAATTAAATAATTTTTATTTAATTATAAGAAATATATTTTTCACAACGGGACACGCGAAAGTGTGACGGAAAATATTCTTCTATATAATTTTTTGTCTTTCTTACTGTTCTCGAGAAATTGTTAAAAGTGATGAAAAGAAGTATCTGTTCTTTTTTTTCATTAATTCGTTAATTCCTTTCAATTTCAAAATAAAGTTGATCTATTCTAGTTTGGCAAAATTGATCATTTTTGAGGAATCTTTTTTAAAGATGTTACAGACTAATTTTTTTTGTTATTTACACATGCTTTATTTTAATAATACATATATTACTATTTATTAATATAAAATATTTAATTTTTTTTTGATAAATATCGTATGTTTTTAAAAATTTACGGTTCCACGATGCTCATGAATTTAATATGCTGTTTTATAATTGTTTAAAATAAAATTTATTAGTTTAACCTCAGTACAATATTTCTATATTTTCAGAAAATACTAAAAAAATCAAAACAGTATTATTAGACTAAAATATCTCAAAAGTGATTGATTCCTCAATAAAATTTGACGGTGAAGAAATTTAAAGAGTACTTTATTGTTAAAACAGAGAAAAAAAAATCGAAATTTCTGATCCTCCGAGTCCCAGGGTGGTGTGTTTCGATGCAGGTGACTCTATTTCCCCGCCGCGATTATTCACAAACATTCTTGTTTACGCTTCCTGTTTTAGACGTTACCGTTTCGGCATCCGAAATCACGTCGCTTAATTAATGGGTCGGAAGAGGGTCGATATGCCAAATGCGTGGGATATGCCCGCTCGCTATGAACCGTCCCGCCATTTACCGCGAAGGCGCATATTCCGCGGCATATTATCCAGCATAGATTCCATCGTCCCCTCTGGGAATCGTTAATCGTCATGCGAGCGAACCCGAAGCGGGTCTCTCGCGTTCGAGCAATTAAAAATCGCCCCTTCGCGCGCGTTCGATTAAGAAACTAAATGAAACTTTTCGCGTTCACCGGGGAGACCATCCATGTCTCCCCGTCCCTCGGGGCGATTTCTGGATTAATTCTAGAGGGGAAGGGATCGGCGACGAGAATATTTATCGGCGATACTTTGGGCTGCCGCCGAAATTGCTCGCCGCTGCAATAATCCTCGAAAAAAGCTCCACGTGGGAGTAACTTCCATTCGGGGGTGAGCTGTCGCGAAAGTCGTCGCCCCGTGAATGTCCGCCGTTTATTCATTCGATCGCGAGGAGGGACGAGGAGCTTTAAGCAGCCGTAAACACGCGATAAACGCGCGTGCTCGAGTGTACTTACGGGACAATCGCCGACGATGGCATTTAAGCCACCGAGTCTCCTCCTGGTGCCATCGTACCCTCCAAGAGGCCCCGCTGTCCCCTCTCGCCCGGGAATTCAAAGGCTCGTTCACCAGCCGACAAAGCGACGCCTCTCGAAGCTGGTGCACATGGTATTCAAGACATCATCGTTCCGGTCCAAGAGAAAGAGAAGGGAGGGTTCCAAGAGGTCTCTCGATCGCAAGCTTATCGATTGCGGAATTGCTCGCTCACAGGCGATTCTCTCGATCCCGCGAAACGCACATGTCAACGCGTTCAGACCGCGTGTCGAGGGAACCCCTCGGACGACGTCGTCCTCGGACGCCGACGATCTAACCCTGGTCGTTGGTCCACGTCGTCCTCGGACGCCGGGTCTCCTCGTTGATCGCACGCCGACGACAGCCGCGACGATGACGGAACGCGCGCTCTTGGGGGACGTAAACCGAACGCTCCGGCGCTCGGTATCGAACTAACTGCGAAAGCTCTCTCAGAGCTCTGGCCAGCTCACTCCTACTCTCGGCGAGACGCGCGACGCCGGCGAAGAGAAGAGAGGGCGAGAGCGAGAGTCCGTCCCGGGGAAGCCGAAAGCACCAGCGCGCGCGCCAGCAGCACCAGAGGGTAGGCCAGATCATCCCTACCTACACCTACCCCTTTGCGCCCCACGAGGGAGAGAGAGGAAGCGCGGGAGGAAGAGAGAGGACAGAGAGAGGGACTCCTCATCGCCGCAGACTTTTCCCCTGGCCTCGTCGTCCTACATCCAAATTGTCCTCTCCCTCTTTCTCTCTCTCGTTCGAGTTCTCTGGGACATTTCGCGGATCGGAATTGAAACCGGACTGCGGTTTTTGATTGGCTACCGTCGAAATGGAACACGCATCTCGTGCGGTCAGCGTGCGTCCAGTCGATGATGAGCCGACCTATCTTTTAGGATACTTTCAAGTTTCTTCAATTGTGACATCTCCTGGGACGGGGAAAAATTTTCCCTTAGGTCGGCGTATGTGCAGACTACTCGAGGAGATGAACGAGACGCGAAATGTATTCATATGCGGGCTACTGACCTATAAAATTAGACGGGGACTTTATGGTTTATGGTTCGGGCCCGTTTATCCCTCGATCCTTGTGCGTTCATTTCAGTGATATAAACGCACATTATATGGACCATCACGCGACCGTGCTTTGTATCTTTCTATGAATAGTCAAAGTCGCATCTCGCTATCTCGGGAATTTCTACGCTATCTCTGGCATTCGTTATTAATGTATAACATGCAAAAGAAAAAGCATAATAAAAAATGTATAAGTCTCATTTTATGCGTATATAATGTTACTGTTTATATTAATATCTCTTTTTTATCCGCCTTAAATTTTTTATGCCATTTTCGTGATTTTTATAAATTTCTTTCCTTTAATAATTTTTTTCTAAAAATTTAATAAAAATTTTTATCAATACCATATACATTTATTTATTTTGTAATATTATTATTAATTATAGATATTTTAATCACATATAATTATATATAAAATTTGTACGATTTTACTTATGATAAAATATATGTAGGATATTTATAAATGATGGGAAAAAATTTTAGGAATTGGGATTTTATAAATGATGGGAAAAAACTTTAGGAATCCTAATGGATTCCTAATGCTTAGAGAAGAAAAAAAAGTTATAGATTTAAAAATAGTTTCCGAGTTATTAAAATTTTCTTGACACAAAAAAATACTCTATACATATAGAATATTCAGTTTTTATTAAATTTTTAGAGGAAAATTATTAAGAGAAACAAATTGATAAAAATTAGAGATTATGTATATAAAATATATGTATATGATCCAATTTTTTAATCCAGAAAAATATTAAAGTAGAAAGTTTATATTACATTGGAAAATTTGTTAATTATTTAATGAATTTAAATCTAGAATCTTAATGAAAAGACATTGAAAACATTTTATTAAAAAGATAATGTATTTATTTACTGAAAAGATAATGTATTTATTTACTGAAAAGATAATCTCTCTCTAATTTTGTTAATATTATGTATATGAGACTCGAGAAAAATGAGAAAAAAAGAGAGAGATCTTTTTTTTTATTTATATTTTCTCCTGCGATATAAAACTATCGAATTCTTTATAGATTGAAACGAAAGTTGCAAATTCGATAAATCAACCCTCCGGCCCTCCATAAAATCAATACGTGTTGGAAAGTCCAACTGTTAACGTAAGCATGAAAAATGTTAGGAGAATGGTTACTTTTTACCCGAATAACCTAGATTATATGATGGAGTAAATTTGGCGAGGCAAGAGAGATTGTGGATATTGTGGTAGAGTTTACTAAAGTAAAGTTATGAACAATCTTGGCCAAAAGTTGCCTTCGCTATATCAACTCAAACTTAATGTTCGCAAATTAAAAGGAGCAGCAAATTCCCGAGTTTTAATGTTCTAGCATTTGTTATAAAGCTCTATCTCGAACTTCCTCCGATCTCTTCTAATTTTGATAATACGCTTGTCGCAAGATATTAATTTTTAATCGAGATAAATTATTACTTTGTAATCTCTAAATATTAAAATAAAATTTTTTATCACTCCTCCATCGAGTGTCACAGCAATTGACAATCTTGGTAGATGGGACGACGTAATTTTAACTGTTTCTTTCGACGACAGACAGCCGGAAGGTGAATTAAGCTCCTCCGCGTTGCTACTTTTCTTTCCCTATCCTTCGTTTACGGTCCCCCCATTTACCGGGGATATCCGTTGAATTGGAATTGAATCTAACAATCTGATTGGATGCCATCGAGCGCTTGAGACAAAATGTGTGCGGGCTCCGATGATGCGCGTAATATATCTCGAGAAATGGGCTTTAAAGCCCTCGCGAGTGATAACATTTAAGTAAATCACGATCCCCGAAATTTGAAAGATGCGTGTCTCGCTCTTCCACAAAGGACCTCCATCATCGCCCATCTCCGAAATTTAATATACTGCCAATCACACTCGCTCTGTTATCGCAAAAGTTGAAATTGATTTTTTCCATCGTGTTGATTTGACGTATTTTTAATCGTGTGTAAAGTGAAATATATGCACAAAATTATTTCGAGGATTAAAATATTTTTCTAGCTGGCTCTCGACGACCTCTCGATGTACAAAATGTTTAGATATGCAAAGGTGTGACAATTATTAGATTATAATTTTTCTTTTATATTACATTTATTTATTTTTTTTTATTTATAATAATTTTTCTTGATTAAACAATATCTTTAATCTTGTACAAAATTTTATTCTGGTATATTTTCAGTAAAATTTTTATATGGATTCTTCATTTCCTCATCACAAATTGGTATCAGATTTTAGTAAATAAATTTATTTTTTTGGTACCTTTATTTTTTCAGTCTCTTTCCAATTAATTGTCTATCAATTCTCATTTGGATTCGAGTTTGTGCTTGACACAATCTGTGACAAAAATTTCCGCTTTTGATAAAAGAAAAAAAGCAAAATTATACTATTGCACAAATAATACTTTTTATTAATTAAAAAAGTCTAATATAAATAATTTATAATAAAATATATTTTTTTAAAAACAATTTATGAAAACAATTAAAAAAGAAGTTTCATTCTTTTTTTCAAGTTTTACATTTCTGTAAAAGAGATTCTTTTTGGTTATAAAAATCTCGTGTCAAATATTTTTTAATTTATTTTATTTGTATTATTTTTACATTAAATCTCGACATTAATAAATCATCCGGTGCAAACCACATTATATGTACCGCGCGTAATGTGTTATAAATTCATTGGCGATCATACATTTCAAGATGTCAACTCTGCGACAAGCATTATTTACGTTAAAACGCGCAACTTAATTTATTACTACTTTTTTAATACACTTTGATACAGAGTAGCGTAATAAATACAAACTGTCCTCGTTAAGCGGGATTTTATCGGCGTAAAATATCGCTATAAAATGAAACGTTGATTATTCTCGTGTAAATTTAAGGTCTACCCTTATTAAATCATCCCACAATATAAACCCGTTGAAGCTGTGAAGGCAGGTTCAAAGCTTAAGTGGCACTGACTAAGAATGTGACGTTTCTTCGAACGGAGAGGGTCGATTTATCTTGGTTTAGTGTGACAAATTTTTCGGGTCTACGAGCATGGTATGTACAAAGATGGATTTAATACGGGCCTTCCCTTTCTTCTTATCTCCCTCGTTCATTCCTTCGCTAGCTTCCCTATACTCGGTATTTCTCATTTACTGTAGCATTTCAAATTGAATCCGACGATCAATTGAGCTCCAATTTGGGCGTGCGAAGCGAAACGTGTCCAGGGGGGTAGAGAATAGGGACCTTTGCAAGATTTAATTCTTGAGCAAATTATATTGTCAACTAATTGACAAAATTATTCTCGCCAACGACGTGTAATTTTACCGACATAAACGTAAATATATTTTTAGCGAAATCAAGGTCTTTGAAAAATTCAAAGATAATTTCTATCGTTAATTCTCCATACGATTATGACAGGAGAGAAAATATTGGAGAGCAGGGCTTAAGAAAGAAGAAAAAATTGTACTGTTGACGCGTGAAACGGACAATTTCGTTTTTTCTCAAGCATTCCGTTTCTTATTTCCATCTTCTCGAGAGTAAACACACGATTTTGAAGTTTCGGCGGTTCTCGAGGAACGTCGATACTCCTCAGAGGATGTGTTTTCCTCGCGCTCTTGGGACGATTCTACCATGGTTCTCTATCGTATACGTCAACGAGAATTTTCACCATGTTCGACGACGAGAAATTTTGATCGTACCTGGGTCAGGGTCATTACCATGCGACTACATCCGTCTATTGGACGAGATTCCACCCGAATGTATTATTTGCTACCCTCTATCTTTATATTTAATTCTTCCTTTTCAACGCTCTGAAAAGGAAGAGTCACATTTGAATATCAATATGTGGGGCATTTTTGATTATGAGCAAGATGATCCATTCATTCGTGTGACTTTGAAAAGATTTTATTTTACAAGGATCTGTTTTATTATATCGATCTATTTTATTTCCGACTCCTACATTTTTCATGCGGAACACGTTTATGCCACAATCTATATGTTTATATCGGGTTTACAACCGATGATCATGGTGCATACGTTATATCTCCTCGCGATTACCATGGGCAAGAGCGTAATATCCAATAATGGTGCGTCATGCTCAGTCGTGAACATGCATATGCGCATGGTGGATTATGGTTGCACATGCGTAATGCGATTTTCTGCGAGGATATCCGTACGAGAATCTGCATACGTACATACATCTCGGACCTGCGAAGAGCGAAATGTATTAGAAACTTTTATGTAATTGCGTACATGTCAAGATATGAGACGTTTTATGATTGTTCAACATTTATATCATCGTCGGGCTAATTTTTATTCAAATTCGCGTCAGAGTTTAGCTAAAGAATTGTCACAACAAGAGGCAAGGAAATGACAAGTAATCTGCATATTTTGAAGTTTATCTTTAATTAATT